TTTTTAATTTCTTATTCTGCCTAGTTTGCTGTAGGCTTCTTTTGATCTTATTTCAGTTAAATCAACAGCTCCTTCTCATAAAACCCAATATAAAAATCGCCTGAATTTCATAAGCATGGATAAATATGCTGACAATGCCAGCTTCTTGAAAACAAACTATTTGTAAGCTGAAACCAATAAGCATTGCTGCAATATTCTATTCAATATGCCTAGTTTAGGACATGTAGTTTTATTTCAAGATTTAAGCAAAAACGATTTTCACTTTCTTCTCATGTAATGCTAATAACTACATCTATTTCATGTTTTCAAAAATAATATTTTCCCTAAGAGCATGAATACAGATTTTTTCTTGGGAACATTAATATGTGTTAATAGGATTCCCCTGGCATCTATATAGCTTGCATTTTTAGTAACATTTTTGTAAATAACTCTAGTCTACTTAGCTGTGCATTTCAAGACATTATTGTGATACTTGCTCATTCCCTTTTCACAGCAAACAATAGAAATTGCTTTGCAGAACAGGAAAGGTCTAATTTTCCACATAGGTGGTTTAAAAAAAACCCCAAAACCTAGTGATTTCTATTAGGAAACAAAATCTATATTCATTGTCAGAAGTAGTTTCCAAATGCCTGTTATCACAAATATCACCTATATCTATGACAATTTCTAAGAAGAAATGAGATTATGAGCATTTCCCTGGGCCTTCTAGCTAACAGGAGAGATTCAGATTGATGCTGATATTGGAGAACAGGAAAACATGAGTAACATATTAAAAGCGGATTATTTCTTTTGTCAGATAATTCTATGTCCTGTCAGTAAAGATAAGGGGATTGATCCAGCTAAACTTTACTTGTGTAAATTATCTTCACAGATGTAAACAATCATCATGTTTTAAGTAGGACTATTCACATGAGTTAAGATTTCCAGTTCATGACCTGTACATTGGGATCTTTATCTTTCAGTCCTGGCTAATTTAATTCTATTAGTATATTGTTTCTCTAAAGGTTATAATTTACACTAATGTAATATCAACTTCAATAGAGATATCAGTTAAGTGGTAAAAGAATTAGATTTTCTTCGTCCATGAAATAACAACAAAGTATATATGCATACTAAATAGAGCAGCAAGTAAATCTTGCTGACCTTTCTTCTTACTAGGCATTTGAAACTAATTTGTCAGTGAACTAAAGCATTTTCTGGAGAAAGATTGACACATTAGTTCAGATGCCCCCATTTTAAATTGACAAAATCTTAAAATTGTCATATTGTCAGCACCTGGAAATGAATAGGGTCAAAGCAAATAATTAAGGCTTTATGGCATTAGCTACTGCCTTAAAGAGCTTAAAGCTTGAAACTACAGTTTTGTTCAGCATCTTGCTTACAGTGATAAGCCACCTCAGTGGCACTATCATTTGACTTTAGAAATACAGCGACTTTTCATTCCCTAGCTGAAGTTGACCTGTTAAATCAGTTCACTGGAAACTGAAAAAGATACAAGAGAAAAGAAACTCAAGAGAATTTATTTTTTAATTGACTAAAATACAGTGGATTGTAAGGAAGGTAAGACTACACAAAGATAAACCCAAATTATTCAGGCCTTGCTAAAGAATCTTCAGTAGAGTGAGTCAGAAAATAATTGGGTGTCAGAGCCCATTTTAAAAGGCAACAAAGACACTACAACACTGAACTGTGTATAAAACAAATCCTTAACCTTGATGAACCATCTCAATATGTACAGATATACTTTCTATACCATATAATGAAAATCCTCCAAAAGAATGGAGTAGAAATAATTCCCACCCTTTTTATCAGAGCTTTTCCTCAACCTTCCGGAATGCTCAGTGTACTTTTAAATGTTTTACAAGGAAACATTATTCTCTGTTATAATAGTCTGCAGCTCTAGACATTTTTCCTAAGCATAGCTATGTATTCAGAAGACAGACATCCATTAAGTAATTTCCTTACACATACCATTTTATAGATGGTTAACCTGAGGCAAATTAAATAAAATGACTGAAAGCACGTAGATAAACAGTACAGTTAGGAATAAAACCAAACACGATACCCATAACTTGCTGTAACCAAAGGTTATAATTCTTCCAAAATCAGCATTAACATTTAATGAAATTCAAGATGTAATTCTACTTGCTTATTAAAAAAGAAAACATACTTTTTAAAAAATATTTAACATGCTTTATTAGAAACGAAATACATAAAACTAAGGCTAATATCAACATATTCAACATCAAAAAGTACACTAAGCAGGATGAAATTTGGAATATGACACCTTGGCCATTAATTCTGATAAATGGTTTCCATTTAGTTCTCAATGGATGACAAGCATATTAATATCAGATAAACCAGTTTTGATAGACTTTCCTACCACTAATACCGCTTTCTAGATTTTTCTCAAAATGAAGAAGGATTATGTTGATCTAATTTTCCTATGCTTAGTCTAATTTCTAAAGAAAAAGCATCTGAAATACTCTAGAAAACAAAGGTATTTATCTTGACATATCTGTAAGATAAGCCTAAGGACAAGGAGAATAAATCAGTTGATTCTGAATCCTAACTGTCTACCTATATGTGAGTGAAAAGGGACCCAAACAGTTCAGGACAGAGATTTCAGAAATTTGATACAGAAATTTAGTACCGGAATACAATTTAGAATCAAATTTGTGTCCTCAAGAAAAAATAATTTAGCTCGCCCCATCTTTTTTTTCCCCTGTTCGCATATTAATAATATCCTGTCACAGAGACCAGAGGTCTTTTCCACCTACCACTTTACAAACCTTTAACTGTCAGTAAATAAAAAGGGAAGAGTATTTTCTACTGCCAAGAACTTATAGCCTAATAAGACTAAATAAAAAAAGAATGGAAAAAAAAAACCCAACACAACAGGGAAGGGAGGCACATAAGCCAATATTCCTCACTATGATACAGTTCCTGAAATAGGAACAGAACAGAAGATTCCAGATTTAAGTTTCAGTATCCAGTACCGTGAAGCTTTTGTAATTCACAAGCTGTGAAGCTTTTGTAAAATCTTTACAAAAGACATTTAATGAATGGTTTAAAAAAGTCAGTTGCCGCAGGCACTAGCAAACCAAAGAAAAATCCTTCTGTAAGCTCTGATCAGTAGTCATAGAGATAAGTGTCTCTCCAAGACACTTAGCCTATGTACATACTGTAATATTTATAAAATACTGGGAAAAAAAACCCACAACTGTAAACAGAGATATACACAAACTGGAAATTTATGCATTCTTTCTTAACAATATAAAACATTAATGTTGGTTGCAGGTCATTTAGGATACCAAATTTCAGACAACTCTCACAAATTTTTGCCAGAGAAGACAGACATTGTAAAAAAATTACTTCAAAGGCATCAAATAATCACAATATTCAACCTTAGTTTGAATTTAGTATCAGTTCTTTAATTTGGTCTCTGTATATTTTGTTTTTCTTTCTCCTCCTCTTCCTTATATTTTGAATTCTATACCACATTAAGGAATTCAATTTACATTGTATTTATTTACATATTCTGAGATTCAAATTGCACAAAAGAAAAATTTAAATCCACGTTTAACTTATGCCAAGTTAAGATAAAGGTGTCAGTCAAAGGAAGATAACATTTAAAATGAATATAACATTGTTCAAAGATTCCGAAGAAGATTAAGAATTGATAGAAGTCCCTTCTATGTCCATTTAAAAATGCGGTGACCTTTAAATTCACCTTAAATAATATAAGTAGATGCAAATTATTCAGGTCTAAAATAGAAATGTGCAGTGGTGTGAAGTGCCTGAAATACTTTATATACCAGAACTGATGCATATCTTTGTTAGAATTGAGAGAATATAGTGTATGGATATTTAAATTTTTTAAAATGTTATATGGTAAGTGCTCCCAAATGACATAGACACACTATGTTCATATTGACAGAATCAAAAACCACACATGAACTTTAAAAACAGTTCCATTTTCAAAACATATTGCATTTTAGAAATTACATAAAATACCCTTGAAACTTACTCAATGAAACATTCCCATATCCTAGAGGTGTCTTAAGTCATACCTCCTTCGGAATCTCATTGAAATGGAGAATTAGGGTTAGAATCTATTTTTACAGATGGGGAAAATGTATTTGTTATCAGTAGTGCTGGTCTGTATTGGATATTTCTTTATTGCATAACTGCATATGTTTTTACCTGATGCATTCATGTGCAAAATTTGTAGGATTTTTCCTTTTAATTTATTTGCAATAATTGTTTCAGCTTTATTTGTTTCTACTCAAATATGAAGAAATCACGTCAATATGACATTTAGTTACTTTTTACATTTATCTCGCTGGTAACTTGAATTTGTGTGAATTCACTCACTTATTACTATTGAATCTAGCTTTAGAAGTTAGAACAGAAATGGACAGCAAATTCTCAAAATTCAGTAAAGAAATGAAAGTTGCACAGCTTAATGGACTGTGACAGAAAATCGTGACACATTAAAACAATGTGCTCTGATGTGCAGACCAGAACCGAACTTACCTATACCAACTGATTTCAGGTGGAGGTGATCCAGTGGCTCTGCAGAACAAAGCTATTGTCTCTCCTCGATCTGCAGTGGCATTAAAGGATTTCTGTAGCAGAATAATTGCAGGGGGAACTGAAAAAGAAAACATGTTCTATTAATGGAAAAAATATTTTATGTGTTTCTGGAGAAATTTGAAGCACAGGATAGGATCCTTTGTTAATTTCAGAATTTATAGCTACACTTAGGGATCAAGTTACAATATGAAACACTGTTACTAGTATTTCTTTACTTTTCTTAAACACAATATTTTTAATATGATTGAGACAATTAGAACTTTTTATTTGCACTAGAATAAATTCTTAAAATGTCTTTTTCAGCAATTCTTCAATTTTCTTATAGAACACTTTAAAGTGATAAATCTGACATACAACTAAGTACTGATGTCAGGCAGTGCTTTTAAAACAGGTGTCAGTATGTAGTAGTCGATTATGCACACTGAATTCTTTTTACTGAACTGCATATTTGATGGGCAGGAGTATCACCAGCTTCCAAAGGTGAAATGTCATAGAACCCAATGGATACAATCTATTTTTGGAAACTGTATTTCCAAAAATTATGTTCTGAGAGTGGCTAATTTTGTCTGATCTTGATGGTATGAAGTTATTACTAAACTTGTAACAGTTCGCAAAGAACCTCTACGCATCATGAAAACCAGAATAGCATTTAAGACAGAACAACTGATATTTAACATCTCTGTTGATATGGTAATTTTAAGACAGCTGTTCTAAATTTGTTTTCATTAACTATCAAGCAGATAAACAAATAAAAACAATTCCAGTAGATTGGAAGGAAGAGGATATGTGGAAAAGAAAGAATGCCAAGGGAAATGGGAGGAAAGGGAAAAGATTTGAGCTTCGAAAAAAATATATGTCTCTGCTAACAGGACCATTCTGTCATCTAGCAACTCAGTTATCTTTTAACCTTTAACTTTCACTAGGGAAAAGAAGAAAAAACAGGCAATCCCAATGAATTTGCTTTTGACTTCCCATTGAATTTCCACAGTTTTTTTCTACCAAACTCTTGAGAATCAACTTCTGTTGCTTTGCATCACATATTTAATTTTAGTATTCTACTTCAGAAGCCTTTCCAACTTCTGAACCTTAAATATAACAAATTATTTTAAAAGAATGTACCAGAATTATCAGCGATCAGTAAATAAATGTTATGTACTTTTCAATTTTTTTATGGTGTGCTGAAACCTGTGTTTCAGAGATCACTTCTTTCCTATCTGAAATTGCATGGGCCATTATTCAGCATACAAGACCCTTCTGTTGTACAACAACAATTTATCCACTTTCCATGAAAAAATATAATGAAAAAAATATCACTTGGAAAATGTTTAATACCTTTTAGCCATTTTGCAGTGCATTCTAATGTCTAGACCTGAAAATATACTCAATAACATGAGGGGATGAAACAATTCTTTGCCAGAAGTATCAGGTTCTCCAGCACTCACATCTAAGAACCACAGGACTATGACTCAGTTCAGCATATTACTTAAGTGCTTCAGTCTTTCAAGAGATAGTGCAATGACAATGAAACGAAATATTATTTTTTCTTTTCAAAAGTAAATTTTTATTCTTCTCATTATTCTTTCTGGGAAGAGATTTGTTTATCTTTGGTTCTGTTCTTGTGTGTACATAAGATGAAACTAAAATCTGAACCTGAAAGAAGAAACCAAATAAAGCTATACTGGCAAGTCTCTCAGATTTTGCACTTAATGCAAGTGGTAAAACCCAGTCACATGTAAGTGAAAACAATTATTTTTCATTTATGTCTGTGAGATCAGGATGTTTATCACATATGGAACTTCCCAGACAGTAAACTTAGAAAATAAATCTAATAAGTCCTCTAGGGGGACAAAAAAAAAAAGAAAAAAAAAAAAAGAAAAAAGTTTTTGTTTTCAGGATGACTTGAATTATTTTGTTCTGGTTTATGCTACCTTTATTTATTAAGTTATTTATTTATTTTTTATTAAAAAAAACCCAAAAAAACAAAAAAACACAAAAACAAAAAACCCAAAACCTGCCATTTAGACCTCACTGTAAATATAGGTAGAGAAGAAATTCTACAAAATTTCAGTGTTGCAAGCAGAAGAAGATACCTAAACAATTAAAAGAGATAATCCAGATCAAATGTATTTTGATTTATTACCCATTATAACCCTCCAAAGATATCCATACATTACCAAATATGTTTTATATACCAAACTTTGTTCCAAGATTTTCTTTAAGCTAATTTCTGAATAAAAGTGCATGCTGTTCATATGTAATCCTTAAAGCATTTTACAAAAAACTTCCAACACTATAATGAACAGCCAGCTAAAACTAAAGAGTTTTTCTAACATATATTTACTTATGTTGCTTTCACACTTTTTAATGTTGTCTGTTTCATGTATCAGTTCTTTCCTTCCTGAAATTGCCTGGGCTACAGGTAGGATATGATAATACCATGTCCCCAGAACAATGAACCTCTACATTCATGGGCCAATAATCTAGGCAAACAGATTTTAACATTTCCTCTGAAAATTAACTCAGTTTTCTTATTTTCCATAAGTTAAAGAGAGGATTTGTGCTGCATTTCCAGGCCTTCACTATCAAGCCCCTCAGCACAGAATCCCAGTCTTGCAATACTGACCACACACTGAATATCATTCTCAAAATAGTGTCTTTTACAGATATTACTTTTTAAAAGTATATGCACGTGACTTGAATCATAACTGCTGCTATGATCAACTAGGTTGAACACTGGTATAGAAGAGAACATACTCTACACAGTCTACCAGAAATGCTGTCCATTTCTTCTCTACTCCTGTTATCTACATCTCTCCCAGATGTGAATTAGCCAATGTTATGTCAACCAGTGTAGCAACCAGTTGGAGTAGAGAATGGAAGACATATTTTCAAGACAGACACCACTGTCTTCTCTAATTCCTTCTCTTCAAAATGAAATACATCTCTACAACATTATCTTTATGCATACTTACAAGCACCTGCTATTTTCCATGAATTCTAGACTATTTTAAATTTATATCATGATTAAAATCCAAACCCTTTCCTTTTTAATGTAAGAAATTTATAATAAATTAGTTCTATTTACTACTCCACTTAAAAACCCCACAAATCCCCACTTTGCTTAAAGTCGCCTGATTTCAGTTTCTTAGGAAGTCATTGTTAGTCAGGAAAAAAATAACATCCCATCCAGGTATCCTCATTTCCACTTAGCTAACATCAGTGGCACATGCTGCTTCATCAACTGTCTACTTGCTTAGTTACCGCTACTTAACTTCAGGCAAAGAAAGAATGAACTTTTGCAACATGTTCTTAAATCATCTGGGGAGTGTCTTCTCATCACTTTACTTTGGTGATTTGAAGGTCTAATCCTTCATTTTATAGGAATAGATCTACTGGTGATACATTTTTCTTGCCTTCACACACCAGAAGAAACCATTCTATAGGCAAGTATCATCCACATGGGCAGAGATGACCCATGACCAAAATGGTCCAAGAGAGAACTTATCTATTGTTCTTAAATATGAGAATTATAGGTTTAATCCTAAATTTAATTTTCTCCTCTTCTTGAGAGGATGTGATCCCATATCCTCTACCTCTGAGAGTTTTTTCGTCATCAGTTTGCTATAAGGTTGGGGTGTTCTCAACCTCTAAATGTTCTTCCACTCTCTCTGTCCCCCCTTTTTAGTTGGACAAAGACGTAAAGAAACAATACGAATAAAGTACTTGTTCACAGAACAGGTGATCTTAATTCAAACCTTTACCTGAAACAGAGGATGTATGGGTCAACCTGCACCATGGATAATACTGTAACTAGAGGGGAATAAGTAAAAGGCTCGACAGTAGTTTCTTTTTTAATTAAATCTTCATCACTCTTCTTGCAAAAGGGAATGTGGGATTTCACGTAGTTCTATCATAGCTTACATTTTTGAATAAAGTATGTATAAGCATTAGAAAAAAAACATATTTGTGGAAATAAAACCAGTATCAACTCTTGCTATATAAAAAGATATTTAGAAAGCAACATACTCATATACTTCTTGCAGTAAAGAAACATCATACATGGAGAATTCTTCTACTCTCAAAATAAATCAGCAAAGCTACAACAATATTAGCCCTTATATTGCTCCTGAAAGTCTATTTCCACTGTAAACCCTAAATAAATATGTAAGAGCAAGGATTATTATTATTGATTTATTAATGTAATCATTTTCTATGTTCACCTCTCCCTACAAACTCTAACAAAAACTTAAAATTTTTAAACTGTAAAATTATGGGTTACGTGGTGTGCCAGTTTTCTGAAAGTATTTTTATTTCTATGTTCTTTAGCTGCAGTTTTCCAGCTTTCCTTGTATGCTTTCCTTTCCTTGTATGCTTCTTACTACATTATCTTAGAACTTTTTGTAGATTCTGTATGCGCTATTGCAATATAAGTAAATAAAGGGAGAACGTGGGCCCTCACTGGAAAGAAAAGGGATAATTCATCATCCGGCATATGGAGAAGGCTGAGGTAATCAACAACTTTTTTTCCTCAGTCTTCACTGCCAAGGGCTCCAGCCACATCACCGAAGAAGCAGAAGGTAAAGGTGGGGACTGGGAGAATGAAGAACTGCCCCCTGTAGGAGAAGATCAAGTTCAAGACCATCTAAGGAAGCTGAAGGCACACAAGTCCATGGACCTGAGGAGATGCATCCGTGGGTCCTGAGGGAACTGGCAGATGAAGCAGCTAAGCCAGTATCCATCATATTTGAGAGGTTGTGGCAGTCCAGTGAAGTTTCCATGGACTGGAAAAGGGGAAACGTAACCCTCATTTTTAGAAAGGGAAATAAAGAAGACTATGAGATCTATAGGCTAGTCAGTCTCACCTCTGTGCCCAGCAAGATCATGAAGCGGATCTTCCTGGAAACTATGCTAGGGCACATGGAAAATAAGGAGGTGACTGGTGACAGTCAACATGACTTCACTAAGGGCAAATCATGCTTGAAAACATTTAGTGGCCTTCTACGACTCGGTTACTGTTGCTGGATAAGCGTAGAACAACTGACATCATCTACCTGGACTTGTGAAAAGCATTTGACCCTGTCCTGCATGACATCCTTGTCTCTTAATTGGAGAGAAATGCATTTGATGGATAGACCACTCCATGGATAAGGAATTGGCTGGATGCACTCAAAGAGTCAACAGCTCAATGTCCAAATGGAGAGCAGTGACGAGTGATGTTCCTAAGGTATTGATGTTGGGACCAGTGGTGTTTAACATTTTTGTTGATGACATGAACAGTGGCATTGAGTGCACCCTCAGCAAGTTTGCTGAGGACATCACGTACTGAAAGGGGACCTACAGGAAAGATGGGGAGGGACTCTTTATTAGGGAGTGTAGCAATAAGATGAAGGGAAATGGTTTTAAACTAAAAGAGAGTAGATTTAAATTAGATACAAGGAAGAAATTCTTTCCTGTGAGGGTGGTGAGACACTGGCACAGGTTGCCCAGGGCAGCTGTGGCTGGCCCCTTACTGGCAGCGTTCAAGGCCAGGTTGGACGGGGCTTTGAGCAACCTGGTCTAGTGGAAGGTGTCCCTGAACATGGCAGGGGGTTGGAACTAGTTTATCTTTAACGCCCCTTCCAGCCCAAACCATTCTATGATTCAATATGATTCATTGAAACAGTAAAGTTCTAAATTTGAACAGTTTCTACATAAAAATACTGTTTATCCTAACTTTTTCTTGACATATCAATCTTTGATTACCCTCTGAAGTATTATTGCTTGTTTTTTGGAAAAAGTAGACATGATGGAAATACAGCCATATAGCTTTTTAGTGGCCTACAGATTGTTCCTTTTTTTTTTTTTTTTCTTGGTCTTCTTTTCTTTTCTTCTCTGTATCCAATTGATTCAGAGGTTTTCCTTTTCACTGAAGACCAAGACAATTTTTCTTTCTTTCTGATTTTCACTATTAGACTAAAAGCCATTTTGGGCCAAGTTTAATACATTCAGCTTTATGTAGGAAAACCTATTTATTCCTGTGAAGCAGAAAATACCTCTTAATGAATATCACTCTACATGAGTTATCATGTCAGAATCACTCAGTTGGCAACAACTCCTCATCCCAACACTGTGAAAAGTCTAGACATGAGCATTAGAATTTTTGTCTAGAGTCATAAAAAAGTATAAAACCCCCAAATTTGTGGATCTAATCCACCAATAAATGATGTGAAGTCAGACTGATGTTTTAGGTTAAATAGAGGCTCAACTCAGCTCAACTGCATATAAATATCAGATAGAAGTGAAAGGTGTTCAGAATGTAGGTTCATATCCATGTATATAAATAGCAACAGAAGAAAAATCTCATTCAGCATTTTAAATGCTATCAGATGCACTGTTGGAACTGTATATAATCAGGAGTTGCGGTAATGCAGTACCACAATGCACAGAGAGGAAAGCAATTTGTTGGGGAGAGCTTCACAGCGCATAGGGCACATACTGTTATATTCTAACACAATACATAGGATAATCACCCATTTGCTTGTCACTGTCTGTATACTGTGTACAACAATCTAAAGAATTCTGCTTCAAAAGATTGCTGCTTGTCTATACGGATTAAATAAAACCTGTGCCAGATTCTGCTCTTTATCCTAAAAGTAGCAGAGAATTCAAGTTACATAATGACTTCTGTAAACAGGTTTGCTGAGAAGGACCAGTCAAGGACAAAGCATTGAAAACTCATAACCTATTAGGCATGATGGAAGTAGTTTCACTGAAAAGCTGACATTAAACAGAATGCATATATAAAAAATGCCCTTTCTGAACTGTGTCCTTTCTGGATACTATGTGAAGAGATATTTATTTTTCAACAGGTCAACCCTGAATTTAGGAGACAGGTTGAGATAAATGCTCCATCTTGTCTTAATCTGTCCATATTCTTTCTTAGAGTTTTATTAGAACCTAATAAAATTTATAATGCCACTTTTTGGCTAACTCATTATATATTTTACTCCTCATAAATGTAAAATGTTAAAAATCTATAAGTAATACTATTAATCTCAATAAAATATATCTATGACTTTTGGGACAGTTAATAAAGTATGTTAATGCAGTGAAGGTGAATAACTGAAAAATCAAGTGTGGTTTTCTACCAGTAAAAGACTGAAAAGTACAGAGTGAACTGAACTAATATATATTATAATCTGAAATTCAAGTCTTAAAGTGATTGTCAATGTTCTGTCAATGATTAAAAACAGTAATCCGGGTTTTACATATTTATATACACTGATATTATGAAATTCAATGAATTCTGCTCACACCATATAACATTTTTTAAAAAAATATTAAGCAATTACATTTATAGGGAATAAACCTGTTTAATCAGGATTTATTTAGAAGATGATCTATTTTAACATAGGCTGTGAAAATCAAGTAAAGCAAGAAGTCAGCTCAACAACTTTTACTCCTTACCATTCACAATAACAATTATGTCCCGAAAGTCAATTTCTCCTCTGGCTTCCACTCTTCCTTCACATCTGTATACTCCTTCATCACTTTTATTGATATTAAGAATTTGGAGATTATTGTTTGCTAATACTGCAAATCGATCTAGAAAGGCAAGTAAGAGATTAAGTGATGTTAGTAAATCAAGACAATACAAGAAACACTAACTTAAATGAGGAATATTTATGTACCTTCTCTGTACAATCAATGCTCATTGACAAAACATCTGTCAATGTAAATTAAAATATCAACCAAAAAATTTGGGCTTTTTCCCACTCCAAAATAGATTGCCATTTTCTAAAATTCAAGTGGATTTTCCATCCATAACTTCCTACTTACTGTAAGGAGTCATCAAATGTAAATGAAATTTATAAATTATTACAAAATGAGTAGAATATTAATGAACACCTACAAAGAATATCAAAGAGATTAAAGGGATAGAAAAAAGATAAATGGAACAATTTATAATAAAGTCAGTAAGAAAATGCTCCTTCCTTCTCTATCTAGAATAACCAACTGTCTTTGTGCCCATTTTATGGGCACTATGCTTAATCATTTCTCAGCTTGCTTGCTCTTCTTCCTTCCTCATGTTCCTTTGATCATTCACTATAACTCAGTCAGTGACGTATCTCCCCATAGTCTAACACATCACAGAAATGGGTAAAAAGACATAATCCAACAAACCACTACACTTTCTTCACAGTCCAGCATAAACCAAAATTCAACACACTTTTCGAGTAGTTTAAATTCATTGAAAAAATCCAATTCTGAACAAGACTGATTACGCTTCCCTGAACACACAGCAGCAAAATTACAATCAGCAATAGTAAATGAATATGAATTTTATTTTTTTCTCCTTTCTGTCTGAACTAGTGTACTGGGTTTGGGTGGTAAGATGCTGGCAACAGGAGGGCTGCAGGGCAGCTCCCATGAGGAGAGGCCATGGCTGCCCCGTGCCGAACACAGCCAATTCCAGCTGTCTCCAACCGACCCACCGCAGATGACAGCTGAGCCCCACAGCCACGATGGTAGTGCCTTGGGGAAAAAGTGTATAGGAAAGGGCAAAATCCACTGTGCAGCAACAGTGAGAAAAAGGAATGAGAAAAGTATGAGAGAAAAAGCCCTGCAAGTGCCAAGATGAGAGAAAGCAGAAGGGAAGGACATGCCAGTCACTGGAACAGAGATTCCCCTGCAGCCTATGGTGAAGAGCATGGTGAAGCAGTCTGTCCCCCTGCAGCCCATGGAGGTTAACATTGGAGTACATATTCACCTAGAGCCTGTGGATAACTCCATGCTGAAGCAAGTAGATGTGCCCAAAGGAGGCTGTGACCCTGTGGGAAGCATGCACTGGAGTGGGTTCCTGGCAGGACCTGTGGGACTGTGGAGAGGAGCCCAGGCTGGAGCAGCATGTTCCTGAAGGACTGCACCCCATGGGAGGGACCCAAGCTGGAACAGTTCATGAAGAACTGTAGCCCTCTGGGAAGGGCTCATGTTGGAGAAATTCATGCAGGACTGTCTCCTGTGGGAGGGAGCCCACGCTGGAGGCAGGGAAGAGTGTGATGAGTCCTTCCCCTGAGGAGGAACGAGCAGCAGAAACGTGTGATGAACTCACCACAACTCCCATTCCCTGTTCCCCTGCACCACTGTGGGGGAGGAGGTAGAGAAGTGGGGAGTGAAGTTGAGCCTGATTAGAAGGGAGGGGTGTAGGGAAGGTGTTTTAAAATTTGGTTTTATTTCTCATCCTACTCTGATTTGATTGGTAATAAATTAAATTAATTTTCGCCAAGTAAAGCCTGTTTTGCCTGTGATGGTAATTGGCGAATGATCTCTCTCCCTGTCTTTCTATTGTCCCAGGAGCATTTTGTTATATGTTCTCTCCCCTGTCCTGCTGAAGAGGGGAGTGACAGAGTAGCTTTGGTGAGCATCTGGTGTCCAGCCAGAGTTAACCCACCACATCTGTTGAGGAAGTTAGTGAGAGAGTAGCTCAGCGGATGCATGGAAGCTGGTCAAGGTCAACCCACCATAACTAGTCAATATTAGTGAACACTTTTGAGGAGAATTCCTGCAGTTCACTGTATGTGGTTTTTGAAGAACCTGTATACTTGTTATTCAGCTGTCTTTCTCATTCTATCTGAACCAGTGTCATCCTTTCCATATTGGAGGATGATAAATTTTACTAGCTTTCAGTTTTAACTAGCAAACAAGTGCAATTTTTCACATTGCTTTCCTTTTTAATTTTGCTAGATTTTTAAAGCATGCTTCCATCTTCCACAACACAACACTGATATTCCAAACCAGTGATAAACAACACCTGGTAGAAAAGCTTTTATGCAGTTATACAGCTATTAATGGAACATATGTATATACATATTTACAAATAAAAAAGCATTTTATGCTGTGTGAGTTCTGTTTCATTACCAAGACCTCTATCAGAAAACGAAGAGAGAAACGAAAAATTAATTATGCTTCACCTGATAAAGGTTTATAGGACATTAATATCCCCAACACATTTATGCTAATTATGTCTTGTTTATTAAAGTCATGCTTGAACATTAATGCCATTTCACACACTACCACATACAAATTAGGTAATAACTTTGTTTCCTGTCCCTACACAATTCCCAGAGAGTTGTGCTTCAAAATGTTTAGAAAGGGTGAAATCTAGCTCTTCAATTTTTTGCCAACCCCTCATTGGTAACCTTTTTTTTTGTTGTTGTTAACATAAATGTTTAATATGTTTAATATGTGAGATGAATGTGAGGATTTGAGATCATATTTATTTCTTTAAAATGCTGCAAAAAAAAGAGGTTCATTTAGTAACAGGAAACAAAACTGTAGGTGTTGGTTGGATATGTTTTCAACTTTCATTGTAGAATAATATAATAGATATAGCACGAGATATTCTCATGAGTAAACTAGGTATAACAGAACAAAAATATTTGGGGTCTTTTTCTATCACTAATACTGTCTACATACTGACAAAATTAATACACATCATATTATAAGGAAGCTTAAAAAAGGGACTGTGTTACTTCAGAAATCATTGTGCTCCATGTTTTATATTTTGGTAGGCTTGTGAGAGAATAGTTCATGTTGCTGTAAAAATGCCACCAAGTATACAATGATACTATTCTCACTCAGTAGGAATCAACTGTGCATAGACCAGCTGAGTCATCAAATGCACTGAAATCTTGACAGGCAGAGGCTAAATCTTGATGGACTCACATGTACTATAGAACACTCAAGAAGGTTCAGAGCAGTAGAATAAATGAGTAATGCAACATGATACATAGAGATGGTGCACACACAGAGAAAGTTCCCTGTCCCATGTATAGCCTAATAAAAACTGTGTCCTACACTAAACGTATTACAGTTTGTGGATGTGGACAGTGACTGGGCACTACATTCCTTCAAGCTCATCACTCTATTTTCTGGTCTCAACTCACTCAACTTCAAATGCCTAATTTAAAAGAACATTCATGACACCTTAACTTTCAGTCAAGTCAGATGTTAACTGGTATGGATGGCAAGAGAGACTGCCTATGTCTTTACCGTGCCTCATAATCAGAGCTTGAGGAATTTTTGTCTTATGTTTGCAAATTTTACTGTTTTCTAGGGTACGTACCAGGCTATGCCACACAGTGTTTAAGAAAAAGGTTAGGCACAGCTGTTTATTGTAAGACTAGGACATGACTAAAGACCTGTTGAAGAAAAAAAATCAAAACTTTCAGCAAAAGTTGAAGACTAAGCCTCCTATTAAATCTGTCCCTCATACAACCAAACCAGTTGTTCTCTACAGGAGACCAATTTTTTCTTGTAGACCAACTGTAAACACAGCATGTTAACCATCTTAAAGCTAACACTCACCTTTGCACATCTGTTTACACAAATATATTTAAATGGTCTACATTGACTTTGTAGAGCAATGGCACCACTTTTTTCACTATTGTAATTAGAACTGTACAAACTACTGACTTAAAGTGGGAGACCTAGCTGTCAAAGACTACACTTACATAATTGAGAATATAAACCAAAAAAATATATCAAAGCATACAGGAAACGTGAAGGATGCACCAGTCCCCAATATTTTCTATCCAGCTGTATGTAAGATACAATTTTCTACATGCAGTATAGTTACATACCACATCTATGCTATGTTTATAGAAAACTGCTAATCTGATAGTGGAATTCTGACATAGTTTAATGATTTGAGCAGTAACAGAATAAAACATGCGTATTTATACAGATAGTGGTTAATATATATATAGCGTATTTGGATTAATAGTGACAGTTAACCTTCTTCTAAGGTCAGTTCCAACTATAAACTAATATACGAATGTCTGTACATAAAAATTCTATATTTGCCTGAAGCAATGTAGAATGAGTTGTATTTAATGTCCTTTGAAGTCTCAGAATTGTGTAAAACCAAAGCAAGTCTCTAACGACTCCAGATAAGATCTGATCAATAAAAACAATCTCATTCACTTTTATAGCTAGTAAAATGTCCCTGATCCCATACAATGGAATTACGAGTTATGACAATTCAGTTCTTAATAACAATAGAGAAAACCTTAGAATGTTCCAAGAAAATGATTCTTTATACATTGCCCTATTAAACCTTTAACAATGTAAGATCAGAAAGGCTTTTAGGGGTCATTGTTCACCTAGGTTTGTTGTGTTTGTTTTTTTTCTTTTACCAAAGAATGATGGACAGCCACTCCCACTGTTTCTTACTTACACCTTTGTTTGCAGAACTCAAAAGAGAATATGAATCCTAGGATGATCTAGCAACAGAGCAGATAAGGTTTTGGGAACATACAGAAACTAATTCAGAATTGTGAGAGGCTATTTCACCTACAGCTGTTTCAGCTATAGGACTACTACACAGGAAATGTTTTTAAATCTTCTGATTTTGTACATGGGACTTCTGCTACTGAGTCTTTTTATTTCACAAGGCATGAAAATTTTCTTAACAGTAAGACTTTTTCCACCTGTATTATAAACCCATACAGACATAGCCAAAACTCACAAAGTTCAGGATGTCCTATTTTTACATGATTTAAAACATTGCTTCCTCCCAAGCATGACTGGGATCTTATTTGGATACTATTCTATATCATAACATAAGGAAAGTATTCTGCTATTTAAATTAAAACTGGTTTCTATCATTATACCTTTTCACATTGTAAGCACTGTGAAAGAAAATGGTTAAAAAGATAAGTTTACGCATTGAAACCTAGAAAATCAGAATTTTCAAAATGAACGATTTTGGAAAAGAAAGGAAATGTTGCTTTATTTCCTTTGCTAATCCTACAGCGGTCAGACTGATTGGAAAAACTAATAAAATGGCAATAATAAAAAATTTTGAAAGAGATCTTTGAGGCAGTTTTACTTTTTCAAGCTCTGAGCTGCATTCTTGAAAAAGACTTTTTCCTAAATTGCCAAATCTTATATTGTTTTAGGAGCTTTTGCTTTTCAAAATCTTCTACATCTCACCTACATTCACTGTTTATATATAGAAAAATTTATAAGGGCAGAAATGTGCTATTTCTTCTTAGTCTCTGCATCTAGATAACAGAAGGGATGGGATATATTAAGTAATAAGCTTAATCCAAACTTTCTTTCATAATGGCGAGTAGTCTAAGACTGAATCCAGAAGCATCAAACAAGCTTTTTTTCCCCCAGCAATTACTCCATCTTTGTTCATGTGATTTTGTAAGAGATCAAATACAACTTTTCATTTTAGTTTTGAAATAAACATAACATTTAATTTCTAAAGAATAAGAATTGTAAGCGCACATACTACAACCTTGAGTTTTAGTACATGCAGAGATAAAGACTGATTAAAAGGTGGATAAGATGGTTCATCAACAATGTCAGTTCAATTTCCAGAAAATGTGTAAAGTTCTGTTTTCAAAAGAAGACAAAAAAGACTACTGAGACAGAACTGAAAAAATGGTTCACAGTTTTTGAGGTAGTAAATCAAACAAATTATATATATATGCCTGATTAATTGTCTCTCTACAGGTTTAGAACTTTATCAGTCTAGGTGTTAGGCAATCTAGCCTAAGCAGATCACTTATATCCCCAATTGCTTCTAACTCAAAGGGTAACTTACACTCATACAAGCAACATGAAGGAAACCACTTCATATAAATTCTTTATACACCACAGAACCTGCATAAATTCTAGATAAGCTCATGGGCTAAGCCAAACCCTCTGCTATAATGTGATTCTTTTACAGTTATTTTATATTAATATTTTAATATTAATTAGAATGTATAACTTAAAGAGTTACCAAAATACTAACTGTCAGCAATAGTTGTGACTTCCTCATTCCGATACAACCAGCTGACAATGGGAGCAGGTGAACTAGTAACATGGCAAACAACTTCTGCATCTTCTCCCTGCCTGAACTCTTGTGGAGATATTATGTCCTGGAAAGTGAGCTTTTCTGAAAAGGAAGAAAACAGAATATAGTAAGTGTCTTGCAGTTCACTTAGCATTAAAATTATAGGTGATACCACATCAGATAATGATGACTATTATGCCTTCTCCTTGTGATAATATAGAATTATTTCCATAATATAATTTTCCCAGTTAAGACTCAAATGGTCCTGGACACGTGTTTTTCACTTTGTCTGTAGAAAGAATTTTATAATCATTTTGCATTATGAAAATATTTGTTTTATTTATATAAACTAAGCATAATTTATAAATATATTTTCCACTGTTTTCAGTGTTCCAGACCCCAGCTTTGAAGCTCTAGTTTTTTAGAGGTTTATAGATTCAGGTTAATACTCTACTTACTTTAGTGTGTTTCATTGTTCATGATTTATTATTGAACCAAAACCTCATGTTTTTATTCCATCAAAACTTCCATCAAAACCACCAAAACTATTTGGAAAAGTCTTATTAACAAGATGGAACTTTAACCTCACTGACTGTGAAACACATCAGCTGAGTAAAATACAAAATCTTAAACACAAGTGGGAAACTTTATGAAAAAACTTAGTATTATTAAGTCACAAGAATTTGTAGCATTTTTTGAGGAAATAACAAGATGATTAAAAGCCTGATGAGGCTTTTAAGTTTTTTCTAACCCCAAATACCCAGACTTGATGTTTAATTTTTTTAGTGGGTTGAGTATTACTAGAATTTTGTATTAGAAGTCCAAGACAACATTAATCCATGATCTCACACAAGATCTAATGCAGGAACCAATTGCCTGACAAAGCATCTGGAAGAATTTCTTGCACACAGAAGAAACAAACTGACCTGTGTTCTTAATGATGAAAGACTGCCAATTACATTTCAGAGGACACTCTGGAGAACATAAGTCAGAGATAAAACTCCACCTCCACATTTTTGTATTGATACAAGCACAGGCTCAAATAATCCACATAGAGGGAGCACACTTTTGTTATATACATCTCATATACTTTTACAAAATATTTGTATGAGGTGTTTGAAGTATTTGACCATGTATAAATCAGAAGAAAAACTCTCACAGACATCAGTGAGTACTGAACCAGAGCCTAGGAGTACAGTGTATCCTGCTTTTTCCTTACAATGCATCACAAATACAAATAATGGAACTTTCATATGTCATTTCCCACAAACCTTCACATTTCTTATGTAGTAGGTCTTTGGGTTTATCTAACCTCAGAGTTACCACATGCAAACACTTGAAAAGATTTCAGCCTTGCTCAGCAGTCTGCTAATGGAGTGACTGGCAGTTTTAAGCATATAAATGAATTTCACAAAACTTGAAATCCTTTGAACTGCCAGCTTTCAAGACATCATGTAATTGCTTGTAACTGCTATCACCATTTGAATGGTTGCTTTATCAATAGATTTTTTTTTTTAAATTGTGTGTCTCTTGTTATCTGTACCTTTCAGAAGCACTATTTTATGATTCGACTCTGTATTTTCTGTCTCATTGTAATTCCTTAGCATTCAGTCCATCAACAAACATTTTTTAATGAATATTAAAAAAATACTCTCCAGTGAAGTTAGAGAATAACTGAGCTGAAAGGCTGATGGCATATGTCCTACCCTTTCACCAACAAAGACTTTGACTTATGTCTTCACAGTACACTTGTTTAATATATTGCTTTTAGGCATTTTTTACTGCTCTAAAGAATTTACTACAGTGTAAAGTTCTTTAACTAAATTTAAAAAAAAAAAAAAAAAAAAAAAAAAAGAAACTCTCAGAGAATTTCTTACCACAACAGAATGTATTTACTTTGAAATATACTCCTCAATTAGTTGTTTGCAATTGAAATGCCTTTTGGCTGCTTATCACACTAAGCTTCAACACATTATGGCAAAATTCCACTATAAGGCCAAGAATAGGAAAAGACTAACATAAAAATAACTAATTCAGTCTAAACACCACTTTTTTAATGACATATATTGCACTTCCTGCACTGGCATTTATGAACATATTTATAATAGGTAATAGATACATTTATAACATGAATTAGGTTCACATAATTTTTTCTCATATTTCCTCTTTTCTGAGGGGCATACAGTGCACCCTCATTAGACGGTGCTCTAAGATACAAAGGAAAAGTGATCCATGATATTACAATGTGGCCATCCATTAAATTTAAATCTTTGATATATCTATTAAATAAACTGCAGGAGATGCAATTATTTGGAAGATAAAATTTAGAGCCTAGGAAGATATTTTGATAAGATTTACTTTCTCAACAGCAGTAGCTTTTAAAACAGTCTTTCATATGTTAATTGATAATATTTGACTTACGATAAATTTCCAAAACAACAGTAGCTTCTTGAGTTTGTCCTTTAGCATCTGTTGCTTGACACCGATATATACCAGCATCTTCTACATCTGCATTATAAATGGTTAGACGTGATCGAACAGCTTCTTTCTGAACAACCACTCTCTGACTAGAAACAATCTTCTCTCCTTGTGGGTTGTACCAATCTATGTTGTCAGGCTCACCAATGGCTATAAACAAAACCAAAAAACAATCCAACATTAGAAGTTCAGGTAAATGTTATGCAACAGATGCCTACCCAGTGCACAATGTTTATGCAGCATCAGGGAATTGATAAATTATGAGAGTTCTGAGAAAGTTTTTAGGAAGACAAGCAAGGCAAAACTGCAGGTATATGTAGGATTGTTAAGGCAACTCAAGGATTCAAGAGGAAAAAGAAAAAAAAAACCACAGAAATATATAAAGTCTTTAAGGATAGAGGCTGTTCAGCAGTCACTGGATCAACAGGTCAAGTCATCAGTCAGTTGTGTTGCCATTGTAGTCAGGACTTGTGTCATTGTCAATGGAAGAAGGCAACCTAGCAACATCAAGGATCCACATCAGGCACCTGTAAATGCAAATTCTTTTCCTCCTAACTGATACCTGCCTCACTAGAAATGACTTTTGGGGTGTCTCATTAGGTTGGAAAGTATACTAAAGCTTAGCCTAGTAGCTTATATAACTACTTATTTTAGAAAAGCAAAAATATTTTAAGTAAAAAACCATCCTAACAGATATAAATTATCTGTACTGATACAGACAATTCAAACTGAATGATTCAGAATCTGGAATTAACAGTTTCTAGACTGGAAATGTGAAGCCAGTAAGGATTTACTATTTATCACAATTCTCACAAGTCAATGTGAATATATAAAAATATGTTCATTTAAGTTAATATTGTGAATAAACTAATTCAGTTTCATATTATGTATAAGGTTCAAAATCTAACAAAAAATACATACCTACAAATAAAATGAAGACATACCTGTGCATGTGAAGAACTTGGATTCACCCACACTGAGCTCAACTTTGCTAAGTGAAATTGTAACTTGCAGTAGAGCTGAAAAATATAAAGTAGGTTGTGAATACATTTTAGCATTTATCAGTTTAAATTTTATATTTTCACGTTTTATATTTTCTCATTCTGTACTAGCAGATAAGCATTTTCTCTTTTGAACTGAAGTATACACAGAGGTAAAGAAAACAATCAAAAGAAAGAACAGACTTTACACGAAGGATAACAGCCTCACATCCTAAAACAGAGAAAAAAAATAAAGAAAAAAAAAAAAAAAAGAAAAAGGGATAGAAATACACATGAACATATAACCAAAAAGACAGTGAGAATAAGGTGATAGGGAACACTCAGCACAGACTGACCAAGGGTAAACGATGGCTTTTTTGTGGGAATTACCTTGACTTTACCAAGGCTTTTAACATTGCCTCCCACAATATTCTTGTATTCAAGTGTATTTGTTATAAATAGCAAGGGTTTGATTGTGGGAAACAGTTGCAGGGGTGACTTCTATGGGAGGGAGGTCAAGGGTTTCATTGTGACAGGCAGAGCCAGTGCTAGCTGGCTCCACAATGGGCCCAATTCAGGACATAGGTGACACAGCTGGAAGAGTTTGTGGCACCTCTTAGAACACCAAGACAGAGGCACAAGAAGGCCAGAGCAATAAAAGGTGCTCGATGGCAAAGTTGGTAATACTTCTGAAGGGACTGTGGCCCATCCATAAGCCAATACTAGAGCAAGTACATCCCCAAAAGGACTGCGGCCTGTGGATAACCCGAAGAGAACAGACAAAATGAGTTAGGCAGAAGGAACAGTGGAAGAGTGAGAAAGAAGGAATGGCAGAAAGAAACCACTGTGTTCTCACTCCAACCTCCTGCATCACCCCTCACCTCACTGAAAGGACTGAGTGTAACCTGCATCAATGGTGATAACAAGGGGAATGAAGACTAGGAATGGGGAAGATGTATCTGGAGCCTAGGGATGAAAGGTGTTTTCCTTAAGTGCTTAAGTATTTGTCTTGTTTTTCCCAATACTCAAATCAGTAATTAAATATTTATATTAATGGTTGATAAAGAAAGTTAAATTCCCCAACTAGTGTCTATTTCGCCCACAACAGTTATTTGCTAGTGATTTTCCTCTCTTGACCCATGAGTTTTCTCACTCCAAGTCTTCCTACTTTTATCCCTGCCTTGCTGGGGGTCAGGGGAGTGAGCAGGTGGCTTGGCCCAACCCATCACATCAAGTTAGGGGGTTACAGACTGGATGAGTGGAGAACTAGGCTGGTAATCTAGATGGTCAGGCTTAGAGGGCAGTGGCTAATGGGTCATACTCTACCTGGAAAACAGTAACAAGCAAGGTACTCTCCTGGGATCTGTCTTGTTTAACACCTTTATCAATGACGTGAAGGAAGTCATTGACCTAGCAAGACTGGAAGAATGTATCAACAGGAACACCATAACACTCAACAAGGATAAATGTTGCATTCTGCACCTGGGAGGGAATAACCTGTTGGGAGTCACAGAAACAGCAAGGAGAGGCTGAGGGGAGCTATGTTTGTTCAATCTGTAGAAGAGAAAGCTGTAGAGGTGTGGCGGTGCAACTCTCCCACTTTCTTGGCCTGCTCAGAGGTTGGTGCAATTCCACCCTACGGGCAACATGCCAACCCAAGATGAATTGGGAAAGGTAGTGGACCAGAGTGTTAAAGCACTACTTTAGCACACCTGGCTCTTGCACCCTCCTCTTCAGCTTGTGAAGGGTACTGACAATCACCTCCTGAGAGCCTAGTACTCAGGACTCAGTACTCAGGTCATGGCCCAAAGGGGGTGGTACCAGAACTTCAAGATCTCTTAAGTGCTGGGCATGCACCACTAGTGGACAGTATGAGAATATTCCATCATCTGTGTTGGGTTGAAATGTTAAAATACCTAACGAGAGTCAGTTATATTGGACCCTATAAACAGCAATTTTAAGGGAGACCCTTTGAGGTCTCCTGGATGGTAGCGGGTTGTGTCCAGCATCTCCCCTGAGGTGAGAAGCCTCTCAGGCACATATTTTTCAAGGTTTGACGATCGTCTGTCCACAAAGCCAATGAAAAGCTATACTTCTCAAGGCTCAGTTATTGCCCATTGAGGAATGCCAATGCATTATGAGTGCTGCAGACTCAAGAAGAGGGAAATTTTACTAACAGACTAGTCTCTTCAATCCACCTCTCTATCAATGTGCTTGAATAAGCATATTTGCCTTCACAAGTGTGGATGTCTACATACTCGCTGTAGTTTAAGCCCTGCAGGGACCGGAGAGCACGTTGCTGTTGCCCCTCCCCCACCCTCAGCCGGTCCGGCTGGCAGTGAGGCACAAACCCGCGTTAAAATAAGACGAAATTTAATACAACAGTGTGATAGAACAATCTGAACAACAACAGTAGAAATGTAATGACAATAAACAGCAATAATACTCAACAGGACAAACGATATACAGAGAAATACCGCTAACTGGTCACGGAAACAGGTTCCCGCCATCATCCCACCAAAGAGCAAGTAAAAAGGTTCCACCCCTGGACCTGACGCCAGCAAGGTATGAATAACCCGGCTGGAGATTCCTTCCCACTCTCTCTCTGCTGGGGAAACCTAACCCTATCCTAAGTTGAACCAGGACAATACTTCACTGGATATCCAAATATTTCCATGTTGCCTCTGTGTGGGTGTATGTTTTGTGTTTACACATATACATATATATTTTGATTTAGAATATCTTGTAGTAAATTAGTGTGAATCCTGTCACTCTCAAATCTGTAGTTAAGTCGCTATTTTAATTATATTCTACCAAATCACCTTGTTTTTCTTTAATTTGGTCAACCATTAAGTGCTGCTAAAATTCAACCTTTTGATCCACCTCATACCATTAATAAATCTTAAATTGCTGCTAAATCATAACCATATCAAATATTTTCATGTACGATAAGGGGAACCTAACAGCCATCCACCCATATCTATTGGGAATTCATGAAGAAGATGGAGGCTCTTCACAGAGGTGTATAGCAGATAGATGAAAGACAAGTTGAAACAAGAGAGGTTCAGTCTGAGCATAAGGAAAAACTTCTTCATTATGTGGATAGTCAGACAGCAGAGCAGATTGCATAATTTTTCTGGACAATCTCAGTTCTTTCAGTTTTCAAGAGCTCACTGGAGCCTTGAACAATCTGGTCTGTGTTTCTAACTGACCCTGCTTTGAGCAGGAGGCTGGACTAGAGACCTTCTTCAGTCTCTTCCACCTGAAAGATCCTGTGGTCCCATGACCCTATGAGTAACCTATTCAACACAGCAAGTAGTATTGGTGAAGGGCTTATTTAGGCAAAATATGTACCATTCAATAATCACAATTACAGCATTATCATAATCCTAAATAGCTGTAGCTTTTTAACATCCATTATCTTACAAAATTGGACAATAAATGTTCAGGAATCAGTAACAAGGATAAAGTCAATCCCGTTAATTTCAAGCTCTAATTAAGACAGAAGTCAGACAAAAAAAGGATTTGTTTTTTAGAGAAGAAAATAATCTAAGTTTTCATTCAGTATAATACATAGTAGAGAACAGAGGTGTATCTGAAGTTTTTAAAAAAATACTGTTTCAAGAATCTGTGGTTTTCAATCTTGAAATATAACAATTATGGTCTATTTTGTGTATGTGAAAATATTTCACCTTTTTTGAAAACTGCCACACAAAACTACAGTGTATAGTGAATGTCCCAAGCTCACTAGATTCCTCTTGTATAATTGGTATGAAAGTCCAACAGGACAAATATCTCGAGAGGCAGTGATTATTACACTCCAATCGAACTTTTCATTTTGGCAGATTTTATCCATTAATATGTTAGAATTTTAAAACCTGATAAAAGCCACAATTATTTGGTTCTGCAGAGAGTAGAAATTAAAGAAAATATGAGCGCAGAAAAAATAAGTAGTATTCCATACATATTAATGTGATAATTATTACATGAAATAGGTATGTCATGAAATAGATTTGCTATTTAGTGATGTAATTTCATGTAATCACCCTCGATAAGCAAGAATTAGACCACTTTTTTTTTTTTTTTCTTCAATAGTATTGAAAGGAAAACCAAAAAAAAGGCAAAGAAAACTGAAGATTACTTCAGTATCAGTCTGTCAAACTAAATTTAACAGAATTGTCTATTTTCTACCAAAACAGAGAAAAATCAAACATCTGTACAGTAAATAACATTTTTCATACGATGTCCTGAATTGTGTACACTTTTCCTGAGGAGATCATCAAGACTGAATGCACTTAAAAAAAAAAACAAAACAAAACAACTTTATAACCTGCCCACCTTAAGAGGACAGCTATGAAGAAAAAACACAAAAGAACACATTCTACTGAAAGGAAGTTGCTGCAAGTATACTTGAAATTACAAGACCTCCTGACCTTGTTAATGTAGAGAAACCAGTGAAGTATAGTTTCAATGTTTAGTTTCAATGTTAACAATCATTTATATTTTACTAGATTTTATTTTTCCTGTATTTTACTGCAATGTATATAATTTCATTTATACTCTTTTCCTAGCTACCCTCTGTAGTCTTACCCACTTGTATTATATCTTGAAACCTGTAACTCCTTGCCTAGTGAAGATAGAACAGGCCTTGGACAGTCTGGTAAACTCCCTGAGTACATCTCTTATAACAGGGACCTAAAAATGCAAGAGAAGTGCCTGAGAAGATGCCAGTGTCAAGATAAGCAACTGGAAGCTGCTTTAAACTGACCCCCTTGAAATAAACAGGAGCTGAAGGATGGATAAGGTAACTCCATGACTGTATATGGACATGGGAAACCTAAAGTTCAACTAGCAGACTGTGTGAGGAAGACTATGTGGACCACCAAGGGGGCGGGGGGTGAGAACCCATTAGCATAAGACTGCATTTTCTAGTAAATCTGATGAATATGTATGCTTTCTGTGCATATTAGTCAGAGCATTTTGTTAGCAGGTGCGGCACTTGTGGTGGAGCGATATCCAGTGCTGCTAATAAAGAACACTTGCTTAACAGTTATATTGAATTCTGACTAT